GCCCCACAACGTACCAAATTTCAGAATGTGTGTGTGACTGATTTACTTGGTTGGATCCCCATTGCAACCATGTTTGAACAATCCATCCATGGTGTGTGCCACTGGTTATTTTGGGCTCCACGAGGACAACCACTAAAAACTAATGATCACATGACTTGCTGAAAAGTGTACCTACTGACTAAAGAACAGTTTCATAACTAAACGTAAACCACAGGCACAAATAAGCAGGTAAACCAGAAGAACAAAAAAGCGACGCCAAGGTTTATCACTTAAAACTAGGTAGAATCGAATGTTACCTGGAGGCTGGAATCCTGTTTGATGCTGTCATCCTGGGAATAGTCACACAGCTTTCTGGATGGCTCAACTGCAGCAGAAGCAGCAGCAGCCTGGAATTCAATCAAGTAAGAGAGACAAACGTTTGTCTTTTTGTATACCAAATTAATGTTTCGACTTGCAAACTCAATATAATTAACTTACTTTTTCACGCCATGGCCATTTAGAATTACCATAGTTGTGATCAATTTCAGTTCCTATTTTTATGTTTTTAATGGCAAACAGGCACAAATGTGGTTTATCATTTACTATTGTTTTTTTCATGGTGCAATTTGGAGACTTGTGGTTGTCATTCACTAATCTTCCAAGTGAACCATCTTCTACTGAAGCATCGATACTACGAAAGGGGGAAAAAAAAATCAAACATTTTGTATAATATAACCAGGATTTGAGTAAAATTTGTTAGCTTACAGCAAGAAAAACCTGCAACATTTCAAACAAAAGTTGTGAGGCAGACAAAATCTCATTTTGACAGTCATAACTCCAAACAAATCATTTTTCAATATCACAAATTTTGCTTCATAGTATCACTGATTTAGGGTCTTTTAATCCACTCTATGTAGAGGTCATAATTTATAGAAAATATTTTGATATACATACCACCAGTGAAGATTCTGCCATTCAAAGTCAAAGAGAAATGTACTCTCCTTTTCCGAGTACTTTCTAGTTTGGCATTTTTCTGCTGACAGAAGTTGACCCCTGTATTCTAAGATGAAATCTCCTTGCTCAAAGGGCTGGGTAGCAAACACGCCTCTTCCTGTAGGGGCATTTTTAGATGATTATTATTTTAATTTTTAGATAAACCAATAACCAAGTGAATATGGTAGGGCTGGCCAACCCTGGTCCTCAAGATCCCCTATCCAGCATGCTTTACTTTAGGGGTGTCCCGATCCGATATCGATATCGGAT